TTCTACTGCTGTAATTATGCTGTTAATTATATGATTTTTCACAAAATAAACCCATTAGTATGTTTCAACTAACCAATATATAATGTTTAACACCCTAACCAATATTTAATATTTTTTAGTAAGCTTTAGGATAATATCATTACTTTCACACTTTTAATTTATTCTTCCCAAAGCAACTTTATGAATAAAACATAAGTCATTTTCATTTATAATAAGGCAGCAACTTTTGTGGTGTGGCTACACACCGTGTGGCCAGCTACACACAAGTAACCCTTAACCAAGTAATTTCCAACTGACCGAATAAGTCCTAACCGACCTAGTAACCTCCTGACTAAGTAACCCCTGAACGCCCAAGTAACCTCCGACCAAGTAAACCTTATACGTTGTTATACAAAGTGTCGAGAAAGTTGTAGAAACCCGAATTCATCATCATCAAAAAAAAAAAAAAAAAATAAATAAATTTAATCGATTGAATTTACAAATTAACTCAAATTGAGGGGAAAAAAATGAAAAAATAAATTGACAATGCAAGTTGTGTAAGGTAGAATAGAGAGAGTTAAAGGTTGTAAAAATGGCAGAAAATTGAGGAAAAAGAGGAGAGAGAAGATGGAAACCTGCAGAGATCATTGAGGAGTTCTTAAGGAGGAAGGCCATTACCTCAACTCCAACCCCACCAAACCAACCGAGAAACCCACCAAACAAACCCAGAAACCTAACAATTTGAATCGAAATTGGGGCTTTGAGGTTCGGAATTGCTTGAAAATTTTGTTGAAAATCGCACGTAAAAATCCCAAAAATGATTTGGAGGTTTTCAAATTACTTACTCTTTGTGTAAATTTTTTGCATGAATATGTTGTATGTTGTAACAATCATCCTCATGGAAGGTAGGAGAGAGAATACATTGAGGAGTGAGAAGTGGGAAACCCAAAAAATAAAAAAAAATGTGGTTGGCCACACGATTGGCCAGCTTTATGCGTTGATTGAAGTGCGCCTACTTAAGCATGTGTGAATATGCTTGACAATCATATACAATTAGGGACAAAGAAAGTAGGGAGCCACCAACAAGTTTTTAAGGAACTTGTAAACCGTTCACGGATCATTTAAGACAACCACGAATTAGGGACAACGAAAGGCAACAACGATTGACCCATGAAGGTTATATGTCATTCATAATCCATGAGATTACTAACTCTATATGGTTCGGAACACGAAAGGAGTATCGGGGATGATGGTACAAAGTGAGTCATGGAGTCGCATTCTCCCGTATTGGCCTCTACTCGATTTTTATAGTGAAAAGTATTTCCTGCGATCTCAAAGGCATACAAACAAAGATTCAATTCGCTCCAAACTAGATTAGGCTAATTTTGTTGAATATTAATGCACACATAATTCTAAATATTTGTGACCACTTGATTAAACAACAAGATTAAAAAAGAACCTAAAACAGTCGTCCAAATTATCTTATTAGTCGTGATATTCAATTACAATATTCCCTTTTAACATGCAATATGGTGATCAACAATATCAATAGAATAAACATAATATTGAAAGCATTTTAACCATAATATCATTAGACAAATCATCATTATCATAATAACAAACCTAAACATGATACTAGCTATATAAAATAAATAAGTGAAACCAAATTTTTGGGATTTTTGGTGGTGTTATAATAAACTTTTTTTTTTTTTTTGGTGTTATAATCAAAATCGTGACTTTTTGTTGGTGTTATTTTCTAATTTTTCCTTATATTAATTAATTACTCATATTACGCGCTGCTTTAAATTGCTACATATATAAATAGTTAGTAACTTCAATAAAAAATATAAATTGAATTGAAAGAATTAAATTAAAAGAATTAGAAAAATTGATTTCACCTTTGGGATTATACCTTCAAACCTTAGTAAAAAAGATAGAACCTTCGGATCTTGTTTTGGTCTTTGAATTACTTGAACATGATTAGAAATATAGCTAAGAACAATAAAAATTGTATGTCATAACCTTTAAGTCTGAGCCTTTTGGATTTTTGAGAAGAAAAATGATTATCAGGATCTTGAAATCGCCTCCTTCAAAACAGATATTAGGGAGGAATTTATAGCCTTAAAATCGAGTGAAGATTAGAATTTAGAAAAGAAGATAGAATTTAGAAAACGTATTGTGCGGGTCAGCAATTTTGCAATTTTTGTTTTTATCATAAATTTTGATCCAAAACTTGGAATAAGATAAATAATATATCATTGGAAAACTCTGGAAGTCTACTTTCCAATTCAATTGGAATCAGATTGATATATTTTGTGGAATAAAAGATATTGTCGGATCAATTTTTGATAGAGTTCAGTATTTCGATCATATTTAATTCGTTATAACTCGGAATTGGGATTATGATATATCATTGGAATGCTTATTTCAAAGGCTATCCTACTATCTAAGATTTAGATAATTAAAAATTATGAGGCACGAAAATCAGTTTATTTGGTTTTGGGCTGCAATTATGAAAAGATAAATTTGGCTAATTATTATGAATTTTGGGCTAAAAAAGAGGTTTGGGCTTATGAAATGGCTAAAATGGCTTAGATAACATAATAATGGGCTAGAACAAAAGGTTTGTTCAAGTAATTCCATCACGCGAACTGGACCAAATTAGACAATGGGTTGTTTCGTTATCGGGCTTTGGTCGGGGAGACATTTTTAGGTGTCTACACAAGCCCCATATGAAAGTTTGTCATAATGGGGTAACTTTTGATCTTTCTATGGAAATTTTACCATCGATTATCGTACACTATCTATTATTTAAAATTTGTCCTAGTTTAGAATTATTTGCATTGATTTGACATAAACTCCATTTAGAATAACAGCTGCACGGGGACCCCAATTTGGCGAAATAAATTAATCACTTAGTCTCAAAAAATGTTATTAGCGATCAAACGTCTTCGGTTCATAATAATTTTTCATTCTTGCTACATGTTTACTAATAAGTTTATAATAATTATAAGTTATGTTTGTTTGATATTATCTTCAACAATGTTTTCTAATTAACAGAAATAGGTTGTTTTTGTATCGTTCTAGGAAAGAGCTTTTAGAGCTGTATAGTAGAGTAAGTTGAATTTTAGTTTGGTTGGTTAATTAAATATGTATTTCTTAGAGTATTAGTGTGTACGTGTGAACATGGAATGCATGGTAATGTGTCTTCTTTAACCAACAACTACTCATTTTCCTTTCATAGTTTCGCAAATTTCAAATAGCCTTTTTAAAAGTTGGTCCCTTCACTTTCATTCTTTCTCGCTTTGCATATTTCATAAATATATACTTGATTGCTTATTAGTTTGAAAAATTATTTTTCATGAAACAAACCTTTATCTCTATCCCTCCTTCCTTATCTAATGATTTAACAAAATTTAGGAAGTTAATCAGTTGACACACCCCCTCTTTTAAATCCCCCTTCTAACCTTTTTTCATCTTCCTTTACATTTTAGTACTTAACTTATATGATTATATGATTTTACAAAATTTAGAATCTTTTCAAAAATTACTATTTACTAATCTTTGATTACATATGTACTAAAGATGGTCATTTGAAAAGTGATTCATCTCTTTCACTTTCCTCAAAGCCCTTCACGTTTTTCTTTCTTTTTTTAACATTCCTAATTTCTCTCCATCTTCCTCCTCCAGAGCCTTTAATTCATCTCTTTCACAATTGATACTAAGAATGGTCTCTTGAATCACCTCTTCCTTCCTCTATTTCCCTAAACCTCACTCTCTTCATTTCCCTTTATCTCCTCTGTGGCTTTGTCTCCGTGCTCCCTCTTTTTAATAATTGCTTTGAATATATTAGCTCATACTTTTTCTGTCACACTCTTTCTTTCTTTCCCAATCCTTTATTTTGTCCCTATTTCATCTTCTAAAAGGCTTTGAAAATTGTTGGTTCCATTTGCTCCATGTCTCCTAGCCCCTCCCCCTGACCTTCTATATCAATGAAGGCAAGGCAGCTAAATCTTATTTTAGTGAAATGTGCATGTATTGGATACTTAATTATGATTGTATGATTTTTTTGCACAATGTGTAATAGTTTAATTATGGATTAGCTTAGAATGGTAAGCAAGCTAATTTTGCAGGTTATTGATATAATCAAGCTAATTATTGATACGAAGTATAACATCCGCCTAAAACTTCGTGCCCCATCATCACCGTTTTTACCCACGGGCTTGGCTTTTCTAGCTCTATTGCCCGACGCCTGTAATGAGCTCTCGAGCGTCCATCTCGCAATGTTGCCAGCGCATCTCGTCAATGAGCTATCGAGCATCCAGGTCTCTAACCTGGTTGGCCGATTCACCTTCCCTCCGGCGTCGACTTACAGTAAAGTGTTGGTTGGGCTCTATGCGGACATGTGATATGACATGTAGAGGAGATTGATGACGTTTTCCAAATCGACAATGGATGGACCTAGCTGCACCAAAGGGCTATGCCCTACGTTTTTGTCCTCCACTTCGTCGGGAAACTTCATGGTATTGTGCCCCTGATTGTTTTGTGACGTTTGGCGTCCTTGATCTAGCAGATTAGCATGAATTTAAAGAACATGAGTAAATTTTCTTCAAAAATTCAAAAAAAATACGAGCAGATTTTTCTGCGCACTTCTTCCACCACTACACATCAACTATTAACATTGATGTTGTCCATCAAATGCGAATGATCCACCCTTATTTTCCGAGCCCCTGATATTTCGTCCTCATAGACACTCCTCAAGTGTTTCTCCAACACATGGTATCCTGATATACTATCCCACCCTCTTTGTATCACTCCTTTGTGAACTTACTCCTACAAAAGTGAAAATTATTCTTGTATTACTGCCTCTAATAATTTAGTATTCTTGATTTTCTTGTGCTCTCTTCTTTCTAGTGCTCGTCATCCAAGATTTTTTTTCCTATTATTTTTCTTGCTTATTTTTCCTAATATTTTCGCATTCTCTATGTCTTTGCTTTCAATACTCAGCCGTTCAAACTACATTAAAAAAAAAAGAAAAAAAAATGGAAAAAAATTAAAATTTAAAGTGGGTAATACAAAGATGTTGGAGTTACATTAGGAACACATTATTTTCCATTTCCTTTTCTCTGTTGTTAAACATTCGACAAAATAGAAGGATGATAATCAAACAAGGAGATCATAATGGTTCCTTCCGCTGTAAAGTAATCTCACAACATGAAGTTTCTTTTTCTTTACTGCTCCATATTCTGCAATTGGAATGAATCCGGACCCCCACTTGCCACTTTTATGCTACCAAAATAAACGAGTCATTTGGGGGAAAAGAAATTAACAACTAAATAAAATACAGTAAAATTCTATTAAATAATATTCCAATAACTGAAAAACCATGTAAGAAATTGTTCTGGAATTTGTAATAACACTAATAATGTTATTTGAACTAATAATGTGACTATTAATTACATCTCAAGTAGTTGGAGCTTTCCTTTATGTTTTGAAGAGATATTGGGATCAAAACTCATCATCTGTCCTTGTGACTCTCTAAACACAAAAAAAAACATTATGGACCGGATGATAGGAATTAGTAATTATGTACAAATTTTATTTATGCTCATAAATTTAAGCTTGTTTCTTGAGAAAGTGGTTTACACAGAAATTAATCTTGGTTAACAAAAAAATTAGAATTAATAATCTTGATTTATTGAACTTCTTATGTCTTGGGTTGATTTCACCTTTCGAATAATCCAGTTTTGGCAGCTTGTTTTCTCAAATCGATCTCAAGAGACCAGTTTTAAGATTAAAAAATTAGTATGCATATGACTCTTAGTTAAGGTTAGATAAAAAGGAATACCAAGAATTTACATTATGTCACGAGTAATACTAATAATACAACATCTTTTGTACACATAGGTCAACATAGAGATAGGTGTACCAAAGGGTAATTTTTGCATATATATATATATATATATTTTTCATTTTACAATTTTAACATGAGCAAAAGAATGTAAAATGAGCATAAAATATTCTTAGGTGCACCTTACACCCGGATGTATATACATTTTAGATCAACCACATCTACAATAAATTGGCAACTAAATTGCTAAGCGATCAAGGTCCAATTTGATTATCCCCCCACCATTCAAGTATATAAATAAATAAATGAAACTCCTTGTACAATAACTTTTTAAAGCATCCTACTCTTAACATATTTAACTAATAATTATCACAAATAAGGTAATTTATCAAATATTATGGGTTATGGTGATGAACAAATGAGATTACCTTCACATATGTAGATTAGTCATATGGAAAAGAAAAAGGGTTAAATAAGTGGAATTATTTTTTCATTAGTTAAAACAAAATAATAGGGTTACTCGAATGAACAAATGAAATTACTTATTTTTTAATTACTTGATATTACTCATATAATGAATTAGGTTTACTATTATGGGCAAAAAAGTTACTCTTATGAATAAATGAGACTACACATACAAACAAATAAATATTACTATTATAAACCAATGAGGCCACATATGTATCATGAAAAATTCAAAATTAATTAAAGGTACATCACGGAAGTCATAAAAAAATGGATACTCCAAACACACAAGTTCTTAAAAAAGGATAACCTTAAGAGAAATCGTAGTCCGATCAACACTTCAAAAATACTAAAGCACCCCTAAAAAGTCTATTGCTATAAGGCAGCAAGCAGAAAACTTCACTATACAACTGAATATAGATAAAAATTAATAATCTGTTTCTCCAACTAGAATACTAACCTCTGTTTCTGGTATATACACAATGATCTGCTGATTACACAACTTTGACAATACCTGCACGAAAACAAGTCACCGGGAACATAAGATGCATGTCAACCATATTTTTATTTTTTTTGTATTTGAAGACATCAGACATCACGCATATGCAGAAGATCAGCAAGAAACAGCAGCATCCACAACGAAGACAAGTAGCCAGATCCGAATCTGGTAAAACATCCACTGTATTGTTGTAAAAATTAAAAAGAATGAACAGCACTCGGGCAACAGAGGTCCTACAGCCTTAGATTTAGGTCTAAACTAAATACATGTAATTAAAATTTTCTTTCGCAGGCAGGAAGGCTAAATTTAACTAACTCAGTTCTATGCTCACTAGGACCGTATGTATTCTCAGCTTTCAAGTGCCTAATGAGCATCTATACTATGTACTAAACTAATCGCTAGAGTTGTCCCAAAAGTACACGTAGCGCATCTACAACAAAAATTTTCCCGCCAAAAATATTTTTTTCCCCATTTTTTCTTAAAAAAACATGACAAAAAATTAGTGAATACAAACTTATAATAATTTATAAAAATAATTTTTTTTCTTGTGAATACACATTCGAGCCCCGCGCAAGGAACTTGATTTGGGGATTTTTACCCCCGCTACGTGATCCAATGAGAGTGTGACACGTGTCACTTTGTATGGGGTCCAAATGGACTCTCCTGGACTTGACACGTGGCATACGGATATTCATCAGGGGGCCCAATTCCGAAGAAAGCCGCACAGGTTGTAGACTAAATAATACAATGCAAGCAAAAGTTCCTAGATTCATGGAGATATAGAACAGCATATAAGTTATCATGCTTGCATATCCATCATTTGAGTCTCCAACAATTATTCCAATAATTACATATCCGATTTGACCTATGGACGAATATGCAAGCATACGTTTCATGCTTGTTTGAGTAATAGCAATGAGATTTCCCAATATCATGCTAAGAATAGCTAGGATTTCCGGAAGAAGATGCCATTCGTTTGATGAGAAATAAAAAGGAATATCGAAAATTCGAGTGGCTGAAGCTGAAGCAGTAGGTCAGAATGACCTAGGTAAAGGGCACATTTATCAATGACCCTATAAATAGGGAGATTTACCCCATTTAGGGGACACGTTCATTTATTACACACAATCAAGTCTTTTGAAAACAGAGAAATCACCTGATCTCGGGATCCGTGAAGATCTACTTTTACTTTACGCACTTTTTACATCACTCCGAACACTTTCTAACTTGATCGTCGGAGGCGAAACTCTGAACACCCAGAGCTGACGTAACTCTCCCGAGGGACACAAAAAACCCCAAAACATTTGCGCCGTCTGTGGGGAGAGTACTTTTAAGATGGGTTCTCAAGAGACTGTACTGCCTACTATAGAAAAGCAGCTGAGGTCGTTAAGACCATGATACCATGATACGGATCCAGAGGTCGAAACATATACGGCCGCGGATGGATCCTTCATTACCAGGCACATCCGTTCCAAAGACAACAAGGAACGGGGTGATGGTCAGGCGGGTCCGAGTAAGTCCTCCAGGGTGGCAGGACAGTCTGCTCACATCACCCGAGACGAGTTCATGAAATTCATGACAAGTTTCAAGGGAGAGATGAAGGACCTAATTTCCAAGAGAACGGTGGGTCCCAGCAAGGGTCAGTCGGCCAAGTTTCAAGGGAGAGATGAAGGACCTAATTTCCAAGACGAGTTCATGAAATTCATGACAAGTTTCAAGGCTACTTTTAGCCCAGGAAGAGGTTTTCCACGTATAACCCTTGTATGTTGATTGTTATCGTTTCTTCCTAGTATTATTGGTATTATTGTTGCTTTGCTACTATCGTATTGCTGATTTGGTTGTGTGAGAATTTGGGTTGATTGGTTTGAATTTTGGTTGATTGTCTTGGTTATGTGACATTGCGAATGTCTTAGTGACCCCTTCCGATCCCTACAAATTATTTAGGAAGAGAACTTGCTTCTAAGTGAAGTTTTCAGTGCAAAGTACAAAATCAATAGGACAATTCTTGGGAAAGAAATATGGCAGGTTTTTGGGGATGGAAGAGCATTAAATGGGGAATACAACTTTTAAACTCGAGATGCTCAAGGCTAATTGGGGGTGGATGCCTAGCAAAAATTCACCATCCTTGGGTAAACGGTCATGAGCCCCCGCAAAGAATAGAAGATCGATTGGGAGGAGTATAAAGTCAAGTACCCAATCAATGAAAAGAACACATGGAAAATAAATAGGTGCAAAGAGCTTTACAATGAGAGAACAGTAGTTGAAATACATTCTCATCATCTAAAAGGAGTAGGAAATGGTGATCAAATTGTATGAAACAAGGGGAGGAGTCACAATTAGACCCGGGTATATAAAGGCTAAAGCCATTGCAAAGATTGAAGAGGGAGAAGTGAGGAGAGAAAGAGAACAAAAGCTAGAATAGGTTATGGAAAAGGAAGGATTAGCCTAGTAAGAAACTCTTCCTGTGGAAAGTTATGAACAAGGCCAAACCAGTTGGAAGTGAGCTTAAAATAAGAAGTACAAATATAGAAGCAAACTCCATGATGTGCTGTGAGGATGAGTCAAATAATGAAAAGTACCTGGACTGTGATTTTGCAAGACACCTGTGGAAGAGTGGTAATATAGGTCTTAATGTTGATAATCGAGAAATAGTTGGCTTGACGGAATGGAAATAACTGGTCGACTTAGTTGTAGATGAGCCTGATAATAACAATATTGGCACGGACTACACATCAGCACCCCCTGGCTAGGAACAAGATAGTCAACCAGGGTACAGATCAAAACCCTGCAAACATCATAGCAAGGGCAGAAGAACTTAATCGAGAAATCAACCATCGGTTCGTTAAGCAATAGGGTGACAAACATACCATCTCAAGACACCCAGAGGGTCCCGGTGTTCCAAATGCTTTTGTTAAAGAAAAAAGCTAGTACACAGGTCGAAGAACAGAAGAAGACAATGAACTCAAGCAAAGATGAGAGAATGAAGAGAAGTACGAGCTAATCCAGGGTGAAGAACAGCGCGCAAGAACAAACATCCCTTGTGCAGGAGTCTGGAAGATTAGGAATCGAGTAACAGTAGCACGCATGATGACGACTAAACAAGGAATTATTTGGTGAGGAGAAAAGGAAGTCCTGGAGTACGAGCAAGGAACCTTGGTTAAAGCACTTCAGTATAACATAGAAGAAGCTTTGCACATTAATATCATCACAATAGACAGGAGACTTCTGAGCTGGCTAACTGTGGAGGGAGTTGGGCCTATTGACTGCAGAAATCATTTAATTGAAATCAAGGAACAATTATACAGTATACATGCTCCACTGTGTTAGCTTAGTCATTAACAATTATTTTGTATCGCAGGGCAGGGTAGAGAAAGCAGTAAGAAAAGGGGGAGGATAGACTCTCTTTGTATTCCTGAAGTGAAAAAAAAAAAAGGAAAAAGAAAAAGAAAAGCATCGGAGTATCCTATTGAAATAAAATAACACTAGGAATCAAAATTTTCTGTAAAAACCTAGAAATATTGTTATTTCAACTGTGATATCCATCAATATAAAGATACTGATTTCAACTGTGATCACCATGTGTGCATTATATCTAAGTGTCTCATCTTTTGGGCATGTTTTATAAGCAAACTTCACAGTAGGAGCCACAAAATGGATCCAAATGCCATATGATTGATTGGAGTAAAAAGATGTAAGACATTATGACAAGGGAAATTTTCGTCTAGAAAGTTCTCGCTTTTAAGTTTATGCACCTATGTAAAATTTAAGTTGGTGCATCAAGGTAATCCACTCCTGCTCATTGGTCAGGTGTCTATGTTTTCAGGCTAACTCTGCTTTAAAGAACAAAGTGATTGCTAGCCTACAACTCATCTAGTCATCCATACCCCCACCCATAAAAATTCATCATACGTCGGTCTCAACTAAAGGAGGAGGTACAATTTGCTTATCATGTTATTAACATTACGAGAAGAATTCAAACATTTACCCCTTGGTACTATATTTAATCCAATACTTTAGAATTGGCAATAGAATAGGGGTGTGTTGTAGAATCTCACTTTGTAAAAAAGCACCTCATTTTGATGTGGCATGACCTCATTCTTGCATTTTTTACCTAGGCTCTTGGATTCTTGTGACCTTGGTGCACCTTGAGCCTTTTTAATTACTAGATATAAAATTGCTAGTCCCTTCATTTTTCATATTAAGAGATTTTGGGGCAACTAAATGGGTCAAGTGCTAAACAAAATATAGGCATTTAGAATTTAAGGCAGTACAGGTAAATGAGGAATGGGATCATATTGAAATTGGGACAAGAAGGAAACTATTGGTTGGATCATACCTACATTTTATTAAGATATTAAAGAAAATAATTGGCAGGGTGTAGAATTTGCAATTGTGCCTTTTGCAGACCAATTGACATGTTATTTCAGATTCAATTTAGTAGATTAATGCTATATTGTCACCATTCACCAAAACAAGCAATCAAAGTAAATGGGAGGGCCTTCCAAATACATGTATAGGACAAGATCCAAATACATGATCTAGAAACCTAGGAAGTAAGAAGTTTATAGATTCATCATTAAGGCTTACGAGTGTAGATTTAAAACTAGATAACAGCATGTTGTTGGGAAAGTTAGTTTTACAGCATATATATTCAAAAAGAAATTTTCTGTTTCTTAAACATGTGGTTTTTTAAGAAATCATTAAAATGGTTTTAAAAGGTAGGAACCATCACTTATATATGATTTTGAATATATACGAATATATTTAATGGTTTTTTAAGAAATCATATATATTTAAACTCCTTAAAATTGAGTTGCTGGAGGGAAAATAAGGTAGGAGATATGCCTGTGAGGGAAACACTTCTATTCTCTTGCTTCTCTTCAGTTTCATCTTATACACAAAAATTATGAAGTGGATTGAGTTGTGAGACACCTTTTGAGAGTGACCAAGATGAAGGCTTAGTGAGTTAATAGTACAATTGCTGGAGATTGTTTTGTTCTAAATCCCGAGGAACATGTGGCATTGTGGATGGTACGTTGAGCAATTGCTTGTCTTCTAGAAATGGGAGTTCACTTTTAAGGACTTGTGGCTATTGCACCTTTAGTTGGATCTGGTGGGGTTGATTGAAAGCGTAATGAGGTTAGTTCATGGACTGATGGTGTATATGGAATGTGGTTGTGGCAGGGGTAGGAAGGAGGAAGACTGAGAATTGAGGATGATGAATTTGGTGGTGAATGCCACTATAGCAAAGTAGGAACTGAGAGAGGGGGAGTGAATGTTATTATCACTTGTCCTAAAGACTCTAAGAGAATCTAGAAAGAGAGTAATTTTATCGATTACCTTTCTTAGACTAGTGTTATAAAGCCATTGTGTACATAAGAACAGGTTGTTCTAGCAACTCTAGTCAACGACTTGTCAACTGATTACATCTTATCACAATTGAGCATATAAACAATTATATACTACTTGACTCATACATCTATGCTATACTAATATACACCAACGTTTGGAGAGGACTAACCAGTAGCTCGGACTCTCCACCCCAAAAGTCATGTCGTCCAATGCGCTGGCAGTATCTGCAAAGAAGCTTAATTATAAATAAGACCGAAAAGCACATAGCTGAGCTCATTGAGAACCATTACGCTAACTACACAAAATTCATAAGATGCATAAACAAACCGGTGCAAAGGCTCATCAACAGTAATTGCAGTGACTGCGTCCTGATATTGACGCCGTTCATTTTCATTTTCACAAATAACTTCTTTCACTGCAGCTCTTAACTCATCTGTAATAGCAAGTTTCTAGTAATTAGATATAACGAGATGTTTATAAGTTATCTATCAATTGGATTTAAGGAAAATTCTAACTCTTCAACAACCAAATCCATTACAACTGAATAAGAATCACATTACACAGGCACTATTTATGTATCTGAAATCATTAAGCAAGATTAAATAGGGAAGAGTGGGTGAGAAGGGTAAGGGGAAAAAAAAAATACCAGCATTATCTCTTTCTTTTTGTGGTGTAAGAGTTATTCCCTTGTTCCTAGCCATGCCTTTAACCTAATGTCATTATGAATATTATTATTAGTAGAGCAATAGCATAAAAAAAACACACACACACACAAAGCTCAATTGTTTTAACCAGTTACATTATTTCAATAATGTAAATACTAAATCTGTAGACTATTATCCTAGAAAAATTCAAAAATAAATATTTGGCTTAATATAGGCACCTTATATTAGAATCAATACCAGGTTAAGGGGAATGAATTGTATGCAGCCTTCTGCACTACGCCTACATTTAAGGTGCAACTCAAGCGCATATATCAGAGCAAATATTTTGCTGTGAAATAATATTAAGGCCTTATTTGGTATTTAGTTGTTAGCTGATTAATATAGTTGATTGTATTAATTGATTTGAGTAGCTGGTTATATTAGATGATTTAACTAGCTGGTTGTAAATAACTGATTTTGTAAGTGTTTGGTAAGGGTTGTTTGTCAATAGCTGGTTTCGGTATATTTAATACCCAAAAAGCTAATTATTCAATAAGCTAATTTAAAAAAACTCTTATAAAGAGCTTTTTCTAAAGGAGCTTTTTGAGTCCTAATAGCTCTTTTAATAAGCTATTTACCAAACAATCAAATTAGCTTTTTAAAATGGTCAAACTTCTAATAAGCTAAAAGCTTTCCAAAGAGCTCTTTTACCAAACGAGGCCTAAGTTTGCTAGTCAACTTCTTCTAAAGTTCCAGATACTAGAAAATGAAAAGATTTATGCTTACTCTAGCGCAATATCTTTGAAAAACAATGGCATGATAACGTGCTCTACTAAATGAAGGGCTAATCAAAACAAAAATATACGCAACAAAGGATGCAACTCCTCCCTTAACGAAGTTGAAACTTATAACTAAATAGCAAAGTGTATCAAACCTGAATTGTATAAGATTTCATCTACATCATTGCCCTTAATGGGTCTCTCACCCAAAAAAAAAAAAAACGAACAAACAAACAAGAGATTCTTACGAGTGCTCGAAACAAGCAACGGCCATCCCCAGTGACCTTCTGAATTGCATAACGCTCCACCTTTATGTTTGAGGAAGAAACTCCACTTCTGAAATTAAATTTAAAAGATTAGATATAATTTTAATAAAAATATTTGCCTGACCATACTCCGTATTATACAAATTAAGTACTACCTCCTTAAGTGTCTAATCGTTACAAATAATTTGAAACAATGGTAATAGAAGTGGATTAGAACTTACTGTGGAGGTCCAACTCGGGCGAAAAATCGGAAACTGGTGTTGTTGAAGAATTGAATACGGTTGGAATTTGGGTTGGGAGTTGAAATTGAATCAACAGCAGATGATACAAGCTCAAATTTAGCACTACCATTTCTGAGTTTCTCAAGAATGGTGTCTGCAATAACAGAAGAAAGCAGAAAGCTTACACAAAATCAGAGTCAAATTTCACAATAGAAATATTAATAATTACAATAAAAGCCAGAAAGAAAAGTTGAACAAGAATGTACCGTTTGATATTGTGACAGCCATGGAGCAACAAAACTAAATCAAGTAGAATATCATCAAATCAACTTTAATTATCAACAATTCGAATTTCAATACCATAATCAACGATTAAAAAAAATGATTCGGAACGACAAATTTTAAATAAACAGCAAACCTCCGTCGTTGTGCTACTGCTTTTGCCGCCGTGTTGCAGCCACCCCAACCTCCGTTGTGATACTCTAAAATTGGTGGCGTCCGTTGCGGAGTGCGTGGAGAGCAGTGGTGTAGTGTGTAATTAAGAAGATATTAAAGGATGAGAGAGATATAACAGGCTCCAGATTCAAAAAACGGGGATCAAAGTTTTTGTGAACTTGTTTGACATCGTTTTTTTTTTTTTTTTTCAGTTTCTATTTTTTTTAAGGTCCTGTTTAATAAAAGTAGCGGTCGAGTAATGAGTAGTTGTTAAAGTAGCGAGTAACTGACTATTAGTAGTGGATAGAGGTTAAGTGTCAAAGTAACGGTTGATAATATGAGTGATTGAAAAAAATACCAGTTGCAATACTAAACTATATCAAAATTCATGTAAATATTGTGTAAAAAGTAATAAAAATTTGTCAAACGCTATATGCTACTTCTAAACGCTACTATTTTTAACGTTTGAGAAAAGTTACCTAAACGCTACCTCTATCGCTAACCGTTACAAGAATCGCTACCTTGCCAAACACTCTCAAATATTTTCTAGTAGTGTTTTGACTGGTCAAAACGCTAACCGTTTCCTCAAACGCTACCACCAAACAAGGCCTAAAACCAAAAACCTAAAACAGGAAATAAGAAAAATGTGTTTCCACTTTTCTGTTGTCGGTTTTCAAAATTATCATGATTTTAATAATTTCAAATAATGTTTAATACATTATGTGACATATACATTTGATTTAAAACCAAAAAAACTAAAAACCACAGCGATGCCAAACGAACCCTCAGTTTTCAGTTTTTTGTGTTTTTTAAAACAAAAAACCAAAAACAGCAAACAAGAAAAAAGTGTTTCCACTTTTCTGTTGTTAGTTTTCAAAATTATCATGATTTTAATAAGTTTGACTAAGTTTTAATTCATTATGACATGTATCATATGCTTTTATAAAACCAAAAAACAAAAAATCACAGTAATGCCAAGCGAGCCCAAGGTTCCTTTTTTTTATTTAAGTAATAATGCTCTGAGTTTTTTTAAAAGTATACTTGTATATTTGCTCTCTATTCGATTATTTTTATGTGCAACAACTAGTAAAAATGGGTTATTTCAATTATGTGCAACATTTCAATAACTTTCCTTATTTGACAAATTTTGTACACTGTAAATGACGAAAAGACCCTCGTTATAAAAATTAAAAACTGATTATAGTTAACAACAATTATTCTAACCTAATTTAAACCATTCCCATCCTACTTAATCAAATGATTCCCACCAAAAGAACCCAAATCTTCTCACCTACCTTCATTGAATTTTCTTCCCAACTACCTGCATTTACTCCCATGGCTTCCTTGATCTGGGTTTCAAACTCAAACCCCAAAATGAGCCCCCCTATAAATTCAAGCCACCCTCACTCTCTTTCTCTTCAATCGCATTTTAAAACCTTAGATCTACTTCTCTCTGCTTAGCTTTCTCTCGCATTTCCATACAAACCTTAAAATGAGTTCCTCCAAAAAAATCAAAATCGAGTCTTCTGGTGACGATTTGTTCGCCTATAACACGATTGCTCAAGCTCAAAGGAGCGGTGGGAGTTCTTCTAGTGGTAGGAAGGTCAAGCATAGAAGAGGAAAGGGTCGTTTGCCTGTTGTAATGTTCGTCGCGTTTCTTGTAATGAAATGAGGATCTACGTGTTGGTGCGAAAATCCATGAGATCCTTGAGGATGAGGTCCCTCGTGTTATCGGTGAGGGTAAGAAGGAGGCCTTATGTTTCTGATGCAATTGTGGTCTATAAGCCACCTGTGAAGGTCTTGGATCCACCTCATGTGGGTGGGTCTAAGCCCGATTCCCCCCTGTTGTTTAAGACAAAGTTGGGTCTGATGTTGCTCTGGTTCCTGTCTCTGTTTTTGAGGAGCAGGGGTGGTTCTGAGCATGTGTAGGGTGGTCGATCGCACAAGGCTCCCTAAGTGAAACAATTATAAAAGGGCCCCGATTTTTGAATTTAGTAACATATTTTTCCTAAAAAAAAAATATTTTTAGGGCCCAACTTAACAAAATTGTACCAGGCCACTTTCATTGTTAGCATTTGTAGCCCCGCCTTTGTTGAGGAGGAAAAGGATCATGTCCCTTTGCATTGGTTGTTGTTGAGCCCTCCTCTGGAAGCAAGCGAGTTAGTGTAGGGTTCCCTCCGCTTAAGGAGGAGTGTGACCCTAACTACATGTTGTACTTGTGGGACTACTACTACCCTCAGTTCTTCAATCCATGATCTTCCAACGTAACGCTCTGAAAACCAAATTTCTGGGTTTTTTTCTAATGTATGTCTGCTTGTTGTGAAAATTTGGTATTTTTATGAATCATGGTCTCTGGATCTATAAATTGGTTGCCTATGAGTCCCTTCTTCTGGTTGAATCCTGCATGTTGTTTGATTTATGTTGGTGATTTATGGTTGAATCCTACAATCTGCATCTATAAATTATGTACCCTATGAGTCTCTTTTTATGGTTAAATCCTGCATCAATAAATTATGTTGTTTGATTTTTATTGGTTGATTTATGTTGTGTTGGTTGTGGAGTTATTTTGGCCATGGGAATGATTCATGTTGATGAATGATGTGTTTGGAATAATTAACTAAGTGAATGTTTAAGATTGATTTCACTCTTCTCTCATGTAATTCTTGAATGGTTGCCTCATTTCTAAGTGCTACTTAATTTGGTTGATTGAGTCCTACTTGATTTGATTGGTTGTTGTTATTGAGTCCCTTTACCCCAACAAATTGTTGTTTGATTACGTTTTCATATGATGAAGTGACTCAATTAATTCGTTTGTGCTAAGTTAGTTATGCTCCAACTCTCTAATTTGGTTGATGTTGAGATACCTACTCATGCACTGGTTATGGAAAAAAAAAAACCCTCCGTAAGATTTTTTTGCAATATTATTATTCCGTTTTTCATCTTTTTTTTCACGTGTCCTTTTATTATTTTTTGGGGTGGTATGAGTATTGAGAGTATGATTCTTCTTTTCAATGAAAAAAACCAAGAGGACTATAGGTGTGTTTAGACTTTGGATTTGTTTTATGGACGGGAATAGACAATCATTTTACAAAAAATATAGAGAAAATTATTTTGATGTAAAGTTATGTTCGGTTTACCTTATTCTAGTACAAAAAAAAAGTACTTAGCTCACTTGATACGGACATACGGTAGTTAGCTTATTCATTTTTTTTAATAGTAAAAATAATTCATTAATAAAAATAAAAAGTCATATGACATCTACAAAAGATTCGACTTTAACAAATACTACCTCTGTTACATATTAGTTGATTAGGGGATTTTGCTCCCACCAATCACCATCTGACAAGTGGACCAATCAGGTTCCGCCATGTGTCTGTCACATGGGCCAATAGGAGCCTGCCACGTGTCAAGCAATGATCCGTCCACCTTGGACCAATTACGACACGACACGTGTCCTTCCCATGACACCTGGGATAACCGGTCACCTAGGCCCAACTTCCGAGGGAAGCCCAATCAGCCCAAGGTTAACCTAAACCTAGATTGGCACGTTTCCCGAGGTTATAAATACCTCCCTTAATCCTCATTAAGGGGGATTACATGCAGATCACGCGAACAACGCAGATTACACACATTAAACACTCTCACCTAGAGAGACCCAATCACTTTAATTTCCGCATTAATTACTCCTTAATAAAGTACTAACTTGACCGTTGGAGGCGGAGCTCCCACCACCAGGAGTCTCCGTTGTTTTGCAGGTACAGGCGTCCGGTTCCAATCTCGGAATTGTAACTCTCCCGCAGGACATCAGAAAACCCCGAAACATTTGGCGCCGTCTGTGGGGAGAGTACTTCTGAGATGGCATCCACGTCTGTACCGACTCCTGAAGAGAGGCGTCCCCTAAACGACCCTCAAGTTCAGTCGGACCACGATACTGAGAATGAATTTGAAGTTGAAGCTCACACAGCTTCAGACGGGACCCTAAGGGCCCGACGTACCCGTCATACCGAAAGGAGGGAACGGGAAAATCTTCAAACTGGTAGTGAGCCAGCAGGCGCACCGCCTGTTCGGCAACAGCCGACTGATGGGTCTGCTCCCATCATAAGGAACGAACTCATGACCTTCATGAGGGACTTCAAGGGAGAAATTCAAGAGTTGATCAACAAGAAGCCGCCTGCTCTGGACAAGGAGCAGTCGGCTAAGAAACCCTCCACTTCACTGAAGAGGAAACCAGTTCAAGGGCGAGAGGCGACCCCTCATCCTAAATCTAGGAAGTGGGAGCCACCTGCCCTTGACTTCACAAAATACCGTTTTCCTACTCCAGGAAATAGGAAACCTGTTCGTCATATTCAGGCGGACGGGTCGAGGAAAACATACACAGACGCTCGGCTACTGCTAGAGCAGAAGAAGAGTGACCGATTGTCAGAGTCGGCCTCTACTTCAAACTTCCAAGACAGTCTGCGAAATACCTCAATAAGGCATACTCAGTCGTATCATGAGGGTCAGTCAGGCGGCACCTCCCGTCAGTCCGGCTTTCATAGCGACCAGGCGGTACCAAACTTACCGTTTGTACCGCAACAACAGTATTTTTTACAGCCACCTCCGTTTGGTGGACATGCAGCAAAAAATGTCCAACCTATGGACTGGCAGCTACGGTTGCTTAGACTTGGTGAACAGCCGTCGGCCTTCTCCAAGGAAATTACTGAAGCCGCTCAGCCGGCCAAAGTGAAAAATGTATTAGTAGGCGCCTATGACGGCACTACTAACCCAGAAGACCATCTGATGGCATTCACCAACCTGATGTATCTTCAAGGGTTGGATGATCCCACTTGGTGCAAGTGTTTCCCGGCGACTCTCAAAGGAATCGCACAACAATGGTTCGGCAACCTGCCGACTGGTTGTGTAAATAACTTCAAGACGCTTGCTTACTTATTCACCTCCAACTTTGCCATGAACATCCCTGCGAAGAAGACGACCCTTGATTTAGGAACAATTCAGCAGGGCGAGAAGGAGGGGCTTCGTTCTTACATCAGGCGGTTTAACCTGATGAGAATACAGATTCAAGGGTTACCGGATGAAGTAGCCTATACTGACTTTTTCAGAGGTTTCAAAGACGAGTCGACCTTCAAATTTGATTTGGTCCGAAAGAGGGTGGCGACTCTTCAAGAGGCCTTGATTGAAGCGGAAGCCTATATACAGGCGACTGATCTTTGTGGTACGGTAAAACAGTTAGACGGGAAAAGGTCCGACAAAAGAGAAGGACGACAGAAACTGTCGTCAAACAAAGACAAGAAGAGAAAAGAGGTCTGGGCGGCTGATTCCTCTAAACAGCCGGCCCAGAAAAAGAAAAAAGAATTCAAACCATACTCCCCAAAGTATGTGTTTAACAAGGATAGCCAGTTTATCCTAAAGGAAATCAAGGGACGGATCTCAATTGAGAA